TGCTGCTGCTGCTGCTGCTGCTGCTGCTGCTGCTGCTGCTGCTGCTGCTGCTGCTGCTGCGGGGTATTCCGTGGGTGGCGTGCCCTGCAGCAGACCTCCCTGCTCCGCTGCCGCTGCCGCTGCCGCACGTCGCTGCTGCTCCTCACGCCCTCCGCCGCTGCTGCCGCTGCTGCTGCTGCTGCTGCTGCTGCTGCAGGTGAAGTGCAGCAGCGAAGTGGGCTACGTGAAGCTGCTGCTGGCGCAGCAGCTGGGCCTCGAGCCCCGCAAGCTGCGCCTCTTCGCCAAGGGCCCCTCGGGCGAAAAAAAGCTGCTGATTGACCCCATGTCTCTTTGCGACTACAAAGAACTCGCAGCTCCTGCAGCAACTATCTACGCAGAAGTCCAGGAATAGGGGCCCCCAGGGGCCCCCGGGGGCCCCCGGGGGCCCCCGGGGGCCCTCGGGGGCCCCCGGGGGCCACGGAAGGGCCCCCTGGGGCCCCGGGGGGCCCCCGGGGGGCCCCGGGGGGCCCCGGGGGGCCCCAGGGGGCCCCAGGGGGGTCGCCAGGGGCCCCCAGGGGCCCCTAGGGGGGTCTCCAGGGGCTTCTGTGGGGGCCCCCAGGGGCCCCTAGGGGACTCGGAGGGGCCCCAGGGGGCCCTAGGGGCGTCTCAGGGGTCCCTAGGGGGGCCCCAGGGGCCTCTAGGGGGCCCCCAAGAGGCCTCTAGGGGGCCCCTAGGGGGCCCCCGAGGGGCCCATCCAGGGTCGCCTCAGGGGCCTCTCCTTGAGGGGCCCCTCTGGGGGCCCTTATTCACCTCAGGGGCCCCTCACGTGCAGGTGTGGGGCCCGGGGGCCCCCAAAGCCGGCTTGTGGGGCCCCAGCAAGCCTTAGGGGGGCCCCCTCTGAAGCCCAACAGGTGGGGCCCCCCAGGGGGCCCTCAAGGCCTGTCGTTTGGCTTCAGGGGCCCCCAGAGAGGCCCCGGGGGCCCCCAGGGGCCCCCAAAGGGACTCCGGGGGCCCCCAGGGGCCCCCAAAGGAGCTTGGGGGGCCCCAAGGGGGCCCCAGAGGGACTCCGGGGGCCCCCAGGGGGCCCCAGGGGGCCTTAGAGGGACTCGGGGGGCCCCCAGGGGGCCCCAGGGGCCCCCAAAGGGAGTGGGGGGCCCCCAGGGGCCCCCCAAAGCTTTAAAGTGCTTCGGGCCGGCGCATCTGTGCAGCAGAGTGTGGCTAAAGCTAGTGCATGCTTCAGCAGCAGCAGCGAGAGCTGCTGCTGCTGCTGCTGCGTTTTGCTGCAGCGCTGGCCCGGGGCAACTTGGAGGCAGCAGCAGCAGCAGCAGCAGCAGCAGCAGCAACAGCAGCAGTGAAGGCACGGGGGCACGTGGGAGCCAGTCATGAAGCCGGAAGAGCACTGGCCCAGTGCTGCTGCTGCTGCCTCTGCTGCTGCTGCCTCTGCTGCTGCTGCCTCTGCTGCTGCTGCTGCGGAGCTCTGCTGCCGCTGCAGCAGCAAATGGCGCCTCCCTGTTTTGAGTGCAGCAGCAGCTGCTGCAGCTGCTGCAGCAGAAGCGGCAACCAGGAACTTGTTTGACTAGGATGATGTGGCTAGACGCAACGAGTTGCTGCTGCTGCTACTGTTGCTGCTGCTGCTGTTGCTGCCGTTGCTGCTGCTACTGTTGCTGCTGCTACTATTGTGCTGCCATTGCTGCTGCTACTAGTGCTGCTGTTGCTGCTGCTGCTGCTATCGCCGTAGTCTATGTACAGCCCAAGCTTGAAGCGCTGAGTATAGGCCAAAATCGAGGGAGCCAGCCAGCTAGCTAGCTAGCTAGCCACAGCTATCTAGCTAGCTGGCCGCAGCTAGCTAGATAGCTAGCCACAGACAGCTAGCTGCGGCTAGCTAGCTATTCCGCAGCTAGCCAGCAGGCCCGCTAGCTGCTCGCCGGCTTCGGGCGGACAGCAGCTAGCTGGAGCCGCAAACAAAAGATGGCTAGCTGCTGCTTTAGCTGTTTGGCCAGCTAGCTATGCTGGCTCCGTAGCTAGCTCGTTGGCTAGCTGCCCACAGGGGTTGCCAGCTTGCTAGCCATTTGACCACCTAGCTAGCGAGCTACTTGGCTAGCTAGCTAGCTAGCTAGCTAGCTAGCTAGCTAGCTAGCTAGCTGAGTGGCTGAGGCTCGCCCGGTAGGCAGCTAGCTAGGCAGTAGGCTGGCCACCTGACTCAACTCGCCCAGCTATTGAGCTGTCCCGCGTGCAAGCTGTTTAGCTAGCTAGGATTTTGTGTTGGGAGGAGACGCCTTGGGGGCTCCTCCAGCAGCAGCCGTGAGGAATGTCCCTAATGAGCGCTGTTGTTGGCACTGTGTGAGCGCGCAGCTAGCCAGCTAGCTAGCTGGCTAGCTGGCTAGCTGCAGCAGCAGCAGCAGCAGCTGCTGCTGCTGCAGCTACAGGTCCTGCATCTCCGCAGCTAGCTGCGGGGGGCCCTCCCCCTGCAGCGCCTTTTCGCCCTCAGCCCCGAAGCCCCCGAGGGCGGGCAGCGAGGAAG